GACATATGGGGCGCGACATTGCTGTCTACTCTTCCAAATACATGGATCTGGGAGGAATTCATACCATCCATCTGTGACAAAGTAGACAAGTATACTTTTGAGCAGATATTGGATGTCTTAGAGGACTTTGTTACTTCTACTTTTCTTTTTCCAGAATGATCCTAAATAGTTGTACTAACTATGTAACTTCTGGCTATGATTGATAGAACTATGCTGTTGTTTTGTACATGAAAGGGTTATATATGAAAGTTAAAGGTTATATTATGATATTGTTCCTCTAGTAGTTAAGAAGAGATAGCAAGTAAAGTAAGGTTAAGACATGATGCACGAGAAGGGGAAGAATAGAACAGACCCCCTGTTGATCTAATACAAATAATAATGAACTGATTAAAGAAACAATAGCAAACGATACAAAAGTTGTGTGTAGCCCAAGCTTGTCGAGAACAAGCAAGGGATGCTGCAATAGTAGCAGCAGTAACAGCAGTCATAGCATAGTTGCAACAACCTGAGCAAGGAGCAGTCAAGATAGCCCAACTAGTCCAACCCCAACTCTAAGAATCTATGGTAGAATAGGCAAGGCCTGTAAGAGAAGTAGATAATTCGTAACAATGGATTATATGCTTTTGCAAGCATAATCCGCCAGCCTTGCAAGCACGTTAAATATGCAAATAGTCAAGAACTGTATCACCCCGCCAGAGAAAATCTATAGAGCAATGGATAGCCTTCTTGAGACCAAAGTGCAGATAACAACTTATGATTTAAAGGGAAGCTGATAGGTAGTGGAAGAACTCAAAGACAGTCCGTTAAGTTGCTGAAACCCCAATCACTTGGGAATCTTTTAAGGGTTAATTCTTCCAGAAGTATTTCCTGAGATCCATACGAGATAAGAAGGAAACTGAATTCCTCACTACAAAGCAAACATAAGAGAAACCCCCTTAATGAATGCTTGGCAAGATACATTAACTTATATTGGTACCCTACCTATCTATAACATATGAATGACGAATGGTGGTTCATTGAGAAAATGATTAGGGGCCTAAGACCAAAACTAAGAGAAAATGGTAACCCCGAGGCAAATTGAAAATTTCAATAAAGTAGTAGAAGCTTGCAGAATGATCAAGAATAATTAAAATGTCGAGGGCAGATAAACCTCAGGCAAGGACAATGACCGAGGGAGCTTCCTATAGTAATAAGAAGAAAATTTCAATCTTAGTAATAGCCCAAGAAGGGCATGCGTTAAGGAGAACCAGACATTTTTAGACAGGCCTAGATTTATGAAAATTGTGGGAGAAATCATAAAGATCGGCCACGCACAATGGATCAAAACTTATGCTTTCATCATAGAAAAACCCGGACACTTTCCAAGAGAGTGTTGCCCTGACATAAGAAGAAGCTCGTAAGTCGCCTGAGATAACTCGAGATATGATCCATATGCATAATTGCACAGGGTGCAATGTTTGATTTAGGTGCCAACCATTTGTTTATATCGTATGATTATAATAGGCAATTGAGCCTTACAGTGATACATTACCGTGTGATTTATATATTCTCACTCCCACTGACACTAGAGTAGTAACCTCTAGAGTGTGTTTAAATTATATTGTCCGGCATGCATCTTGCTAAACTATCCCTGATCTGATATGTATATCATCTCATAATGTTGATTTGAAAACTTGCCTGAATTGATTTTCATTTAATAATGTTCTCCTTGACTGTAAAAATTTAAAACTTTAATCTTCCCTCCAAAGGAACTTGTCTCTTGCCTAGAGGTGAGATTGAATTTTGACTAGTGAGGCCCAGACAGAGAAATATTTGAGATAGGACTACTAAAGGTACATGATAACCCTTCAGTGTAGGCAGAAATAGAAAGTAGAGGTAGAAGAAATACTAATGATAGGGGAATGCTTGAAGAAATCCCCAAAAGAGGTTGATGAACTTCCACTAAAAAAAGGAAGTAGAATAGCAATTGACTGATGACAACATGGGTCTGATTTAAAGGCTCCTTATTACATGATAACAATGAAATGGCTAAGAATGTAATAGGCCTAATAGAAATAAGGAGTCTATACCCTAGTAAGGAAGTAGAGTGACAATTTAAACCTTAAGTAATTGATGTAACCTCAAAAGAGGCAAGGTGACAGGACAAAATATTTGAGGTTTGTTAAATCCTTTAGTAGTAGTAGAAATCCCTATGGGATAGTAAACCAAAGGGGATAGAAATTGGATAATGTTGAATGAAGAACTAATAATGAGCTAGATGCTTGATTAGATATGACACAGCAAGGTGATTAAATCATTGCTATGTAATGCAATTAGCATGTGATGATCAATATCTGACCATAAGAATGGTCGATCAAAAAGTAAAGAAGTTAGAAAAGTTGTGTCAGGCAAGATCCCTCTTGAGGATGGAATTGGATAAAGATAGATGAAAATGTAATAGTTAAAGGTTGCACTAGAAATTGATGTGTAATGAAGAATTGATTAGACCAGAATGTCGCCTTCTGGGTCATCAAGATTGTGATTACACCAAATAATGTAGTATAGGGTACAACCAATCTTTTTTCTCGATGAGCGCTTTATTGGAAAAGCCTAGATTAAGCTAGTTATCAAAAGCATGATGATTTAGGTAAAGAAAAGGGAGTTTAATTGTTTAAAAAGTGGTGCAGTAAATGTAAATTGTAAAGAAGTAAATCTTTTTAGTATTTTAAATGAATAAAGATATGCTTTAGAGTATAGGGAAGTTATGACGGGATAGTATTTTGATGATGAAAACTCAGCTATCATTGCTCTTAAATTGATTGAGAGTTTTGGAAATCTCTAAGTCTAAAAGAAACCCCAAGTAATCACTTGGATCTGATGTTTTAATTACTGAAAACTTACTTTAACCAAAGTCAATTGACACCTTTTAAAACATTGTTGAAACCACTTAGAGTATAAATGAATAGATGATGCAAATTCCCTCAAATTACCAATCAACAATCACAGAATACCAAGTGAACAAAACCAACTGAACACAAGGATTCAAAACTGATATATTCATATAGATGATTCAATATTAAATAGCATCCAATCAAAATACATTACAGTAGTCTAAATACAAGATTTACAATCACAAATTAAGTCTTACATAAGTACAAAAATCCCTAACTCTAGAAATGATCAACACAAATTTAAGCACAAGTTTAGACTAAGTAACTCCCCTATTAAGTCCTTAAGCTCAAACATTGTCTTCCATCACCAAGAGGTTAAAGGTTTAGCCTCTCATGTCTTCAAACTAGTCATAATCACTCTAGGTATGATCAGCCATAAGTGATGCTTAAAAAAGGTTGGAAAAATGGAGAAGAAGGGGTTGAGAGTAATTTAATTGGTTCTAAATCACAAAAAATGGTGAAGAAATGAGTAAAAATAGAGGTTTAGGGTATGAGATCAATGGAGACTTTAGAGAATATGGTGGAGGCTCATGCCTTTGTAAATCTGTAGAATGGTGAGTGTTTAGGTCATGGTGGCTGCCCCCTAAGTATAGAAGTTGAAAAACGTATTTCAAAACGCATAGTTTTGGCCATGACCTCATAATCTCATGTCGTGACTTGGGAACTCTAGGTCGTGACCTCATAAAGCCATGTCACGACCTGGGGATACAGAGGGCCTTCAGTCTTAACCTAGCTCCAAAACATGCAGCTCCTCTTAAAGAACATTTAGGTCGCGACTCAATAAGCTTATGTCGCGCCCTAGGGGCACAGAACACTCCAAATCTCGTGTTTTGGTTCTTATGACTTTATGTCTCGTTCAGTGCTCCATCTTGGGTTTTAGATCCTTCTTTAACTGCTTGAAAATGACAACAAAGAGCTTTGTAAAGACTAACTGATTGCAGATCAAGGCAATTACAATTAAGGACAGAAAAATGACCCTTTATACCCCTTAAACAGTGGAATGCAATGCATGAATCAATATAATCAAAAGGATATAAATGCATGCATCATGAAGATAAAAATGTTGCAAAACAACAGAAAATACTTGAGAAAACTACATAAATATTGGGTTCTATTACTCCCCTACACTTAAACCGTTGTACTCTTGGATAATGACTTAAATCATTCCAAAGAAAACACTACATTTTCCCTTAAAAGCTGGGTCTCCTAGCAAGGATAAGCCCTCCTGGAAACATCAAGGTTCTTTGTGCGTGACATCTAAGCACAACACCAAACAACACATAACCAAGCAAACAAAATAAACACAAAACCAACAAGAAACAAACTAAAACTAAAGGAAGTAAAGCCTAACACTAAACCTAGAAAACCCACACTTCAGTTGACCCCCACACTTTAGTTGACCCCCCACACTTCAATGAACAACTACCCCCCAGACTCTCCTTGGAAAAACCTTAAAGTTTGGAATTGGAAGAACTTGCATTTTAAAAAACCATTGGGAAAATCTTATCAAAATTCAAGTTTTTTAACTTTGTGATTGCCCAAAACGAAGTTTTGAAAAGCCATTTTAGGTTGGAGTCAAAATCCATTAAGAAATTTTAGTTAGCAAACAACAGAGGTGGGTCAGAAGTTCTAAAGCTCTTTTGTGACCTCAAGTCATGACCTAGTTCCAAAATTTTAGAAAACATAGAATTCAAACCAAAAATAATGAAAGTAGAAGTTGTGAAGTCCAATTTGAGATTGAAACATAACACATCATCCTTCTAGAGACAAGAAAAGAGCTAAGTACAAGGATGAGTAAACTCAAGAATACAAATAAGTGTGTGGTGGTGACAGAAGCATAATCACAATCACGTCAAAATCAAAGCTAGGGAAGATTATTCAAAATAAACATAAACAAACAAAAATTTGAAAAGACTACTTCTACTAAGGGTATCCCTTTCACATCTCAAAATAGTCACACGCAAGATAATGTAAGCGCAAATAAAGACATATGAAAGTAAGAGATAAAGGAAAGGGACGACCTGGCCTTAAGAAGGTTGTGTGGGCTCTTCATTGAGCTTGAGGAGATGACTATTGCATGGCCTCCTCCTTCAACTCTATTATCCCAAAATCATACACTTTCGTCACAATGTAGGGTCCATCCCAACTCATCTTGAATTTACCCCTTTTGAATTTGAATCGAGCTAAGTACCTCAACACCTTGTCACCCTCCTTGAACCTCTTCCTTAGGATGTCGGGATCGTGAATAAGCTTAGTCTTCTGTTTATAAATGTCAAAGCTGTGGTAGGCGGCCAATCGTATTTCTCTAAGTTCTTGAATTTGAAGAAGTCTATTCAGACCGACTTCCTCAAGATCAGTGTTGTAGCTCTTTACTGCCCAATAAGACTTATGCTCCAGTTCTACCGATATGTGACATGACTTTCTATAGATAATCCGGTACGGAGACATTCTGATCGGCATCTTGTAGGCAGTGCGGTAGGCCCATAGTGCATCGTCTAACCTCAAGCTCCTGTCTCTATTAGACGGCTTGACAATGTACTCTAAAATACACTTGATTTTTCTATTTGACACCTCAGTCAGGTCATTGGTTTGCAGGTGGTATGGGGTGGACACTTTGTGAGAAATCCCATATTTAGCCAAGAAGTTAGTAAGCAACCTGTTGCAGAAATGGGTTCCCTGATCACTAATTAATACCTTGGGTACTCTAAATCTTTGGCATTTATCACATGCTTTATAATAAGTGAATACGTCTCTAAATAGGATAGGCCAATAAAAACCTACATCTAACAATTTTCTAGCCGTTTTCCTAGCACTAAAGTGTTCCCCACACAAGGTGTCATGGCAAGCTTCCAAAATGGCTTGAGCCTCTATTTCAGGAATGCACCATCTAATTACTTGGTCAGAGTATAATCTCCATAGGTATGGTGGATCCCACATGTAGTAAGAAGTTTCACTCCTAAGCTTTTGAATATGAAAAATAGTCAAGTGAGAAGGGATTAATCCTGTAGCAAGATAGTTCACCAAATAAGCAAACAATGGTTGAGAAACATACAATGCACATAAAGATTGGTCGGGGAATGAATCACGAATAACATCTGAATCTAATACTCTCCTTGTCTCTAGTGGTAACCTACTCAAGTGATCTGCTACACGGTTTATGTTTCCAGCTCTATCTTTTACTTCCACATTGAACTCTTGGAGTAATAACATCCACCTCAAGAGCCTCAGCTTCGATTGAGGTTTATAGAAGAGATACTTTACTGCTACGTGATCTGCAAACACAAACATTTTAGAATTTATAAGATAGGGTCTAAGCTTATCAAGCGCAAAGACAATTGTAAATAATTCCTTCTCAGTAGTGGTGTAGTTTCTCTAAGCTGCATCTAAAGTTTTAAAGACATAAGTAATTACTTTAGAATCAGAATTGTCCCGTTGACCCAACGTTGCCCCCATACTTAGATTTGAAGTATCACAAGAAATTTCAAAAGACAATTCCCAATTAGGAGAGGTCAAAATAAAAGGAGTAACTAGCCTATTCCTCAATTCATCAAAAGCTAACTCATATTCATGATCAAATTGAAAATCAACATCTTTTTGCAACAGTTTAGAAAAAGGTAGAGCAATTTTACTAAAGTCCTTGTTGAATCTTCTATAAAACCTTACATGTCCTAAGAAGCACTTGAACTCTTTCAAGTTGATAGGGTAGGACAACAAAGAAATCACCTCTATTTTAGCTTTATCGACCTCTATTCCTTTATTAAAAATTAAATGACCAAGTACGATGCCTTAATTAACCATGAAATGGTATCTTTCATAATTCAAACTAGTTTTTTGTCAATGCATCGTGCTAGAATTTTATCAAGACTTTTCAAACACTCATCAAAAGAATTGTCATAGACAGAAAAATCATCCATGAACACATCTATGCATTTTTTAATAAATTCAACAAAAATGGATAACATGCAGCGTTGGAATATGCCAAGGACATTGTAAAGACCAATAGGCATAGGTTCCAAATGGATAAGTGAAGGTAGTCTTGTCTTGGTCTCTAAGGTTTATAGAAATTTTGAAATATCTAGAGTACCCATCTAGGAAACAATAGTGACTCTTCTCCACTAACCATTCAAGCATTTGATCAATAAAAGGTAAAGGAAAGTGGTCTTTCCTAGCGACTCATTCAGCTTTTTATAATCAATGCAAACTTTCCATGAGTTTTGCACCCTAATTGGGATAAGTTCATTGTTCTCATTTTTTTACTATTGTGATCCCACTCTTCTTCTGCACGACTTATACCAGTGATACCCACTCGCTATCAGATATAGCGTATATAATTCTAGCCCTCAAAAGTTTGTCTACCTCCTTTCTAACCACATCAGAGATTAAAGGATTCAGTCTCCTCTGGTTTTGTTTGATTGGCTTGGAACCGTCAGTCAACAGTAAACAATAGAGTCAATTCTCTTAATATCAGCTAATTGCCAACCTAAAGCCTCCCTATTTCTTCTAAGTACGCTCATCAAACTAGACTCTTCACTTTCAGTTAAAGAACTAGACATAATGATAGATAATTTATTTTCAGCATCAAGATAAGCATACTTAAGGTTTGGAGGTAGGTCTTTAAGTTCTAAAGTTAGGGGTTGGACAATCGAGGGAATTAGAGTAGAAACATCAGTAGGATTAGAGAAACTTCCCTTTCGCAATTCTTGTGAAATGCATTTGTCAACCTCACTTGGATCCACTATGCTTGCCTCAGTCCTCTCAGATGTTGCACCAAGCTCAAGTTGGTTTACAATAGCAACAATCTTGGATTGGCTCACCTTCATACCTACATCATTGTTAGAGATTAGATCATTCAAAAATCGCAAGGTATAGGGTGTGAATTTAAAGTATGCGTGATTAATAGTTGAGTCAAAAAATGTTGGCCCTTCAACCAAGGTCTCCAAGGAATGAGGTGGTGAAACAATTGAAGTCTGAAGTTTAGATGGTGAAACAGGGGGCTCAGGTCAAGACCTCACATTCCTAGGCCGCGACCTCACTTCATAGAGGCCACCTTCTTGACAGGACTGATTTGAAGTCGTGACGTGAGATTCCTCAAGTTGCGACCTCATGTCATAGAGGCTAGTTTCTTGGGATTTTACTCGACTCTCAACATCCATCACATCTTGAACACCTACATCATGAGCTAACAGACCTTTGCTAAGGGCAACATCATTTATGAATGCAGAAATAGAATCAAAACTTGAAAGAAAAGAAAAATCTTAGGACATGGAAAGTATGTTATCAAATTCTAAAGAATTAATGCATGACATTTCATCCCCACAAGAACAAGAAAATGAATAAACAAAAAAGAGGGAATTGAAATATTCATCATATGTACTCAAAGACGAGTCACGCTCATAAGATTCATGTAATGTGTAGGAGAAGAATCAATCAATTTAGGTGAACCCATGTCATAACTATCATGTATATTCAGCTCATGCTCATCCCTAACTTGCTCAACAGTTAAATCAATGGCATTTAAACCCATGAATACAGAATTATCAAAGGGATACTTGAAAATCACCTTGAACTGTCTTACTTACACCTTGGGGCCAATTTCAAAATTAATCCAAGGATTGTACTATAGGCACAACCTCGAGTCGTTTCACTTGTGGAGCCGAAATTATGATCCTAGATTAACTAAATGCCATGGTAATGCAAATTGAGCTGGAAAAGGTTGGGGGTTTTCATTGAGACTTGCAATTAAGATAAAATACAATAGAACGTAAATGTATTTTTGGATTTTTGGGAGGTTAAGATGAAATGGATGGAAATCAAGTGCTGAATCAATTGGTAAAACCTCTTGAAAATGGATTCTTGGCAATCATAGTTCTCTTAAGATGTGGGAGTTTTATAAATTCATTAGGTTTTCTTGATAACAACCTCAATGACTCATTGAGTCCAATACTTGCATTAATGAACTCATTAATGAAAACATTGTTAAGCTTCCCTAATGTGTAATTAAGAATGATTAATGCAAATGGTTCAATGCAACAGAAAATCAACTCATCATCAAAACATGACCATGCAAGATGAAGAGAATCAAGAAAGCTACAAAGAACATATATGTAACTACATATATTGAAGCATGAAATCCAACATTAACCAATCCAACTATAAATGTGAATCATCAACTAATGATTATAGATCAATCAAGTCTTTCACTAAGAATTTACAAATCCTAGACCTAGGAATTCATAAATACATAGCTAAAACTAAGATGAAATTGAAACTCCCCTTTTTAAGCTCTTAGAACTCATGCCAATCATCCATCTTCAAGAGCTGGAGGAAGCCTAGCCATTCATGGTGTCACACCTTACAATTATATTGACTTAGGTTCCTTTCAAAACCATTTTAGACCATATTGGATGGTCTTGGGCTCACTTTTTACCATAAAAACGCTAAATTTCAGATTTTTACTGTTCATCAGGTAAAAATCCAGTTTTTGTGGCCCAACTTCAAAAATTCATAACTTATTCCACAAAAATCCAATTGGGGTGGTTCAAAATTCTACTTAAAGATTTTTAAGTCCTCTTTCAAGGAAAAATAATCTCATTGTCCAATTCCTTATGAAAAAGTGTCATGTTTTTGAGATATACAACACTGTCCATTTGCCAAAAACCCTTTTTCCAGATTCTGACCTTTAACTTTGAAAAATAATTATAAATCGTATACTGGGCCATGTTTAACATATTAGCTATCAAATTGAATCTCAAGACGTTATCTTTCATCATACCAAATTTTGTGACTAAACGCATTTGAGAGCATAATTAAAAAGTCATGTGAACCAGACAGGGTTAGTGTGCTTACAGCACTGTTAGTATAATATGTACATAACCAAAATAAGTTCACGAATTTTTGTGGCTAAACTCCATAATTAGCCTTCAATCTGCAGCTTTCCCTTAGAGGATTCAGGCCCTAAAATGTTAGGTTGCATTTGTGGAATAAGATTTCATTGAAATCCCAATAGCAAATTAACCAACTATAACACCAACAAGCATCATCAACATGCACAATTATATTAACTACTATTGGTGAACTAGCATACTTATCATTTGGCAAACTCAATCATGCAAAGGTCAAAGCAAGAAAGTACAAAGAGCAGCCACACTATAATCAAGAAAGTCCAACCACATAATAGCAATTAATCATGCAATAATTAATAATGCTAAGTTAGTATTAGTAGTTAGGTTTAACTTGCTACCTTGTTCCAAAAGCTTTAGCTTTCTTTCCTTCTCCTCTTTTCCTTTACAAATATCAAATTGTAACCATACAATCCATCAAAAGGGCAGCAAGAATCATTATTCAACCATGAAAAAGCAAGAACATAAATCAAAATGATTCTTGAACCATAAAGCTCCCTCCTTTGTTCACTATTTTTAAACTTGGTTCTTTTTAACCCTAAAAATCACTTCTTGACTTAATCCTACATGGTTTTTCATGTAGATTCCAAATATGAACTTAGATCTAGAGAAATAAAATTTCTTCTTCCAGCCACAACCTGACCGAACCACTAGAGGTTTTAAACCAAAAATCACAACTTTGCTTTTAAGCTTCCAACACTTGTTCCTTTTAGTTTACCCTACACTATTCCTCATTTTAAGCATCATGGAAGCCTTAAAACATTAAAAAAACTCATCCTAGGGTTTAGTCCTTCACTTGGCCGAAATGAACACTTGAGGAAATAACCATGAAAAATGCTTTAAAACAACCTAAACTCACTTGCAAACACCACTACAACAAAATGTGTTTTTTTACCTCCCTCATTTATGTCTGTTTTAAAAAACAGAAGAGACTTCATGTTTGTTTTAAAGAAAACAGACGTGAATTCACGTCTTTTTTGAGTAAACAGACATTAATTCACGTCTGGTGATTAAAAACAGACATTAGTTCACGTCTGTTTAGAAGAAACAGATGTTACTTCACGTCTGTTTTTAAGTAAACAGAGGTGAAGTGGCTTGATTTTTATAAAAAATTTTTCCCGCAGCTAGCATCAGCTTCATATCAGATCAGTACCGCGAACCTCCAGCTCGCAGCTATCTTGCACGACAACTCTGATTTTTCGGTCTCTCCCTCTCATTTTCGTCTTCTACATGCAACAGTCGTGAGCTACTCGAAGATTTTTCAGTCTCTCCTTCTGAGTTCTGCTCTCTCAAGGCCGTAGCCCTCCCTCTATTTCTGTCATGCATTCTGCGTCAGCTCGCCATCGATTACCAATGTGAATCCATGAATTCACACGCATAGCAGGTCAC